TTCGTAGGTAGATAATTGCAACGCAGTTCTTAGCATCAAACTTAAGTATGTAAGAATGCCTGAAGGCCATGCCCTAAAAAGCCGACCATTTAACTTTTGAGGAGGGGGGGGGGGTACGGGTGGTTTCAGTAAACGATCACGTTTTATCATAAAAATTCCTAATCCTGTTACCGTTGCTGATGAAGTAAGTTCAATTTGTACAACACATACTCTTAAGTGCTGAAAAATCGGCAACTATCAATTTTTAACTTGGCAAATTGAATTTTGCAATCGACTTCGATAACTCGAACCCTTGATTACTTGAACTGTTTTTCGTTCCCCTTAATAGTTCGAGTTACCCGGATTCTACTGTAACACCTAGGTTTTTAACCAAGTAGTGGTGAAAAGGGTGATTCGAGTGTAAACATTTCGTAGTAGTTTGACAAGCAGCGAAAACAAAAAAGCTGTTAACATGTTTATGTATTACGCCAGAAGGCGCTGGTTTTCTTTTTCGATTACCGTTAAATTGTAAGGTCGAAGAGATTATCAGTATGAAGTAACATTTTATGCACAAGATAACCCACTTTTGTCATATCATTATACATTATCATTATAAGTTCCTTGTTGGCGGACAAAAATGTCAATAATTGCTTCATGCTGATTGGAGCGCGGGTACATTATGGAATCTTTTCAAAAAGACTTTCTGTTCTACTGAATGAAACTTTTTTTTTGAATTAAAGGAGTAACAGAAGATGATTGACAATTATTTTAAAGCTACCGAATGAGAATTAGCGATACTTATTCTTTTTACTATTATGGTGAAAAAAATCGACAATAAATGCCTGTTTTAAATTTAAATTTAATTCAATACCTTCCCCATCTAATAAACACATCATAATGTGAAAAGGTCGGCATTTCAATTATAATAAGTGAATGACGAAAACTGAAATCGCATTTTAACTTTTATTTGACATTGAAAAAAAAAGTCCTCCTTATTCCATGATTATAATTGCGATTTTTATTTGAATTCAGCAGGAACGTTTTTAATTAAAGACCAATTTCTAAGAATATACAGAATGGTTTGTAATTTGGCAAGCTGGTCAAAAGAGAATAATGTTTGCCTTTCAAATGCAAATGTTTAATAACTTAAACTTGCTCTCGTAGAAAATTGAAAGCCAGTGAATAAGCTTTAACGTCACGAAGTTTATATTGGCCTCACGCTAAACGACCCTCTTCACATGCATGGAGATCGCCATCAGCGCCATCAGCAATACCACAGCTAATTTTTCAAAAGCCTAAGAAAGAGAATCTAAAGATTTGCTTTGTCATCACGGTCGAGACGGAAAGCTTATTGGAGGTGAAGGTGAACAGACGGATCAGAGGAGAAGAGGGCAACTGAAATGAATCCATCTTTTTCCAAAGTTCATTTGAGTACATCGGGGAAAGCGGCCATCACTTCCCTGTACGTAATTCTTATAATGGTCACTGTTCTTGGCAATCTCCTCGTCGTGAGAGCTTTTAGTAAATTTGCAAACCTGCGGACCGTTTCTAACACCATACTGGTCAGTTTGGCAGTGGCAGATATGCTTATGGTATTTGTATTTATCCTACACATCACAAACATTCAATTTCCGAGATTAAGGCCCCCTCACCAATTATGCAGCGTTGCATCGATGCTTAACCTCGCCGTCAACGCCATTATTATCCTTCACCTTGCCTTGATCAGCGTGGAACGCTTCCTAGCCATCAAATATGCCTTGTCGTATCACACCCTAGTGACTCATCGTCGAGTAATAATCGCGTCCGCTGCAGTTTGGTTTTGGGGAATTAGCATTTCCATGATATTTCCCTTGTCGTTAAAGGCAGACGGCTTGAAGACGTTCACAGAGTTTTTACAAGGCCTAACACCTTGTTTTGTTTCTGAAGAGCCCTTCTTTTTGCATTCAGAATCGGTTCAAGCCTACCTGGTTTTCTTGGTCGTGGCACTGTTAGTGATGCCAATAGGTATAATTGTGACCTCATACAGCTACATCTTCAGTGTCGCTTGGAAACAGAGAATTAAGATCCAGGACGGACAGAACTTGCACTTGCATAAAATCTTCAGGAGGCGCGAGATGAAAGGTGCTTGGACGGTGGCCATCGTTGTGGGACTTTGTCTCGTTAGTTTCATCCCGTTGTTGGTAACACTGTGTCTTCATTTCCTTAATGTAACGACAGTTAAAATACATCAGATGCACGGAGTATATTTTGCTGCAAGCATGAACGCCTGGTGGAATCCCCTGATATATTGCTGGAGAAACGAAAGCTTTAGGAGAAATATCAAACGACTTCTGAAGTGCTGCCCCCATCATAGTAGAGTAGACGGAAGGAAACGATGATGCTGGAAACTCAGTTAAAAAATGTCTTGAAACTTTCGGAACTGCAATCCTTGGAATTATTGCTGCAGAAACATTTATTCAAGACAAGTTTCACGCACTTAACCGTAACAACCGTAATAACCTGATATCACACATTTGAGTCGCTGTTCAAATATATTTAATAAACTGAATGGAAAGGTGGCCAGGCGGCACAGTTGTCTTTTGTGCAGCAGTTTAATGTGTTAGGAAACGTTTCAGGTGAAACCCGAAGTGAGATAAAGCCCTGAGGTGTAAAGCTGAACAGTAAATATGAGTTCTTAAGGAAAACAAATTCAGCCGTACAAGTGCGATGTATAATATGCACACGTGAATGAAGAATATCATAGAATTCTCAATGAAGCTAGAATTGATAAAAAAAAAGAAAAGAAAAAAGTTTATACACGAATGCCGGAGAAGGAGTTCAAAGTAACTGATAGCTAGAAGTTATTTTCCAATTGCATGGGTACGCAGATCTTTTGCATTAATTACCTGCTTAACACACCTTTCATTTAATAAAAAGTGGAGCAGGTCATTACTGGAACTGAAAAAAAAGCTCACCTGTTTCACTTTAGTGACCACAACAATGACCTGCTGGTTCAAATACAATGACTGAATAATCGGATGATGTATTCGCTCCTTGTTCGTCTTAAGTAACGACCTAGCGCTAAGCTCTCCGGCGGTCATCATTTTTAAGAAAGCTTTGAAGCGCAGGCATTATCTTATACATGTATACAAAATCCGATAATAGCGCATCGAAATAAAAAAATTTAAGTCACTGACTTACCATGTTAAAAAGATAAAATGATATGTAGTACCTTGAAGGTTACTACATAAACGCTAACCGAAAGGAGTGGGATCGATTTGCAATAGTGTTGTACAGCAGAACCTCGATAACACGAACCTCAATTTAACGAAGTCCTCGGGATTACGAATGGAATTCTTCACCCCAGTAACAGTAAAATATATCATAAAGAGCATCAAAGTAACGAAACCTCGTTACAGTAACCATATTTTGCCAATCCCTTGGCCCATCGTTGATGTAAGAGTTCCACTGTACTTCGGTATCGCTTGTTAAATCAGAGGTGGAAGAAGGATCGCCAAGCTAGGGTACTGCTTTAGGTATAAAACTCGCGGGGTGGACTGAATTTTATTCATCAACTTGCAATTTACCCGAGCAGGTTAGGTCTCAGTTATTTGCTGTCATTTCAAACTTCACCTGTAATAAAGCCCTGATCCAGTAGAAAGTGGATTTTTGTTGTGACTTCCTATTGCTTCAAGTTCCAAAAAGTATGTTTAATTAGTTTTTTAATTAGTAAAAAAATATGCCTTCATCAACACTTCGGCTCGTATTAATTCGTGGCCTAAAGATTCGCCTAACTTTCATTTTATTTGATGCTATGGTATATGACTTTGGCGAGTAATACGTTGAACAACAAGGTTACGGAAGAAAGGGACATTTATGCCACATCATGATTAGATAGGTCACGAGACATATTTCTTAACCAACACTTTCAGTGCTATTTTTAACGTGAATTTAATTCACTCTCTACTTGTTTAACATTCTTTTGCTCTGGCTAAACCAGTAAAAATGGAACACTTGAAATGTGGAAATATGAAATATAACCACTTAACGTTTACACTTGTTGAATATTCGACGGGAGAAGGAGATAGGGGGAAGGAGAAAGCCAAAAATGTACTTGACGAAAAAAAACAACAACCTTGAGCCATAAGTTATTTGGCAAATGAATGCAGTTTCGTGCAAGAATACTCGTTACGGCAATTTGACATAAAAAGAATTCGTTTCCGTGAAAATTCTTAACTTTCCACCTCGATCAGCTTTAAATGCTGATAGTTATTAAAAACTTGTGAATACAACCACCGAGAAAAGAGCGGGTATCATATATTAGTTGAATTTGAAAACTGTCTAAATGACGCAAATTTTGACAGCTTGCGTCGATTACCCAAGTCATTGAGATTATTTTGCATATCGTCAGCAATTTAAATTATTTATGCTTAGAAATAAGTTGAAGTTACAACACGTTCTCATTCAACTTCCTCCATGCAATTATATGCAGACACTTGTTTGGAATCATTTTCAACTTCTTCCCCAGAAACATAAAACTACCAAGAAATAGTCGTCTAGGTATTCGAGACAAACCTTTTAAATGGCAACATAGGTCGTTTATTACACCTTTAAGAAGACATGTTCGAACAACATCTAAGCGGTTGGATCCTTTATCTATAGCTCTGTTAAAATTAAAAACAACGCGGAATAGATTTCTCAATTGCCGTTTTCTCAATAAAAGCGGATGGTGCCACCAAATATTACACTTTTAGAAAATATTATTAGGAAATTATTTTCCCAAAACGGCCATTTTATTTTTTATCTTTTCCGCTCATATGAAAAAAATTGTCAACCAATCATTCCTTAAGGTATATCTAGAGATTGCCGTTATTCATTTGTTGTCTTGCACGGCATGCGTTTAGTGATAAGTTGCCGTAACTTGGTCGATTAGGAAAATATCATTAATATTCGATGAAGTACTGCCATATTGATGTGAAATTAACTTCGTTCAAGACGCCTTGAAAGATCTTTCCTATTCGAGAGCTGATATGCTGATATGACACCAGGCAGATTGCACAAATAGCTGACTCAAAATGCTTGTTTTAAGCTGTGTGGTAATTCTGGCGATATTATCAGGTATTAAGTGATAGCGAAACTATTATTCTGCGACTGGGATATAACAATTCGTATTTTCCGTCAACATGATTTTTATTTGCCTTTGAATTTAGTGACTAATCACTCCATAGAACCTTGCAAATAGCGTATATCAACAAACATAAAGTCCATGTCAAGTTTCCCTTCCATGCTTCAAAGTTTGTTTAATTATCCGCTGATAATGGTAGATAGAAATTCAGTATTGCCCGTATTTAATTGTTTTTTTCTTTTTGCAGTGAATGTTTCTTGTGCCTCCAGCAACCAAGACCAGGTAAACTAAATTTTCTTCCCATATTAAAATGCACTGCAAAACGTCTGCCCTAATCTCAACCTTAGAATGAATTTAAATGTATATTGCACCGGAAAGATTCCGTTTTCCTGCGCATTAACTAACGCGTATTATTTTTCCTGTATATCTGCAATTTGTTAAGAGAGATGCTATATTTACAATATTTCTTGCTTGTTTTAAAGTTGTCGTTAGCGGGTAACCTTGATGATGCCGTTGCCACCTATTAGAATTAACACTGAGATTGATATATCAACAACGGTAAACAAAACTTAACGATGGCGGGATTGAAACTTGTAACATTCACAAACTCTTAAACATTCGAGACTCGTCTTAGAGATCTAGTTCAAAAGTAAACACAAGCGAAATTGGTTAGACTGTAGCGTATTTTGGCTAGAAGTTCCAAGTACATTTGAAAGAATTCACAACCTTCTTTCGCTAATTGTTATTTATTACCCCACGACTGGCATGGGCATCGTATGATGTCCCTGAATAATTCCAGGTTTCCACCTTCTTTTTCACTTTTTTTGTCGTGGTTTTCTTTTTTTCATGGAAACTTTGGTGTATGTAAGGTTTTAATTTTGCGAGTGGAAAAACAGATATATTACTTGAAAATAATTGACAAAGAAACTTTCTGCTTTGTGTTTAGGTTCTTGGAAACAACGAAACCATATTTAACGCGACAGGCTTTCTGAAACCCTTATCTTAACGGCTCTTTATTTCAGAACATCTCTTGGACTTAAATAGTACCTAAGCTAAAGCTAAACTGAAAAAAACAATTTTTTGGTAAAATGAATCCTCAGAATTAACAATGAGAGCCCAACAATTCAAGCCTTTAATTATTTCTTTTGAAGTTGTCGGTGACATTTTTACGCGCGGCCGTTTAAGTGGCATTGACTAGTCATCTCATGCAGAGTTTCCAATTAAATTTTTAACTGGTTCTTTTTTAATTTTCTTTTTTGAATATGCCGTCTAGCATGTTTACATGTAACGAAAACACCAAGAGACCGTCGCGGCACAAATTGAATAGGATTATTACTAAAAATACATCTAATGACGTAACATTGGACTAGTAAAGTCGAGTTCGCTGACATGGCAAAATTTCTGGTGAAACGTTTAATACCTGAATATCTCGAATATGAAAAGCCACTCACACATGAAAGTTCGATAGACTAATTACTTTGTTATAACTGTATTTTTTTAAATGTTTTATGTAACTATAATAATTATGAATGTAGTAAAAACGAATGTAAAAACCTACATCTTTTGAAGACTGGCTAAAAAGATTCCTGCCGAGATGCTGAATGCTTGCGCGTCCCATGTTAACCTCGCGTTTCCTCTTGGAAAGTATTTAACATCCTCCTAAGACTGATAGGCGGCCCTGCTAAGAAGGCACCGAACTATAAACCCATCTCTCTTTCGCCAAAGTTCTCGAACGTTACGTGTTCAACAGGCTTATCGACCATATCGTTCCTCAGGTTCAAAAGCTGCAGTTCAAGTTTTTAACCGGTAAATACCCCACAGCCCAGTTACTTGAAGTCCTTCATAACATTGGAGAAAAGCGGGATAAGCGAGTGCAGGTTGATGCTATCAATCTTGACATCGCTTATCGAATAAGCCTTCGACAGCGTTAACCACAAACTACTGCTCACGAAACTTGAGCGAATCGGCATCTGCGGTACCCTGTTTTCTTAGTTCACTGAGCGCGTCCAAAGGGTCACAGTTCTCGGGGTCAACTCTGAATCCCTCCCTGAACAATCAAGAGTGCCGCAAGGGTCAATACATGGACTACTCTTGCTCTTCATAAATGCGAATGACCTTACTGACGTGGCCTCATAATAGAGCTTGCTCTTTATGTGTTAAATCCAGGCATCTTGGCGAAGTTGTAAATAAATAAATAGATACATGCATACATACAAACATACATTTCAGGGTAGTTACTGTTAATTTAGGCTAAGTAGGTTCTTAATCAGGTTCTTAATTTCTGTGAAGGAGATACAGTTGTTTACTAGCAGAAAAATAAAGAAACGTGACTTTGGTCCTTAAATATACAGTATTTATTCACTGTCAATCACGGCAAACCTAGTCCCTGTACGGCGTTTTCCCAGTCCCTCTCAGTC